TAGGCAGAGAAGACGCAGGAGGGGACGGCAGGGGAACACGCTGCGGAGGAGAGGAAGGACGACGGACTACGAGGTGGGTGCCGGTGACAGCCGGCTGACGCGAACGAGAAACACGATGACTAGGACGACCAGGACGACCAGAATGGACAGGCGAAACAGGACGCGACGCAGGCTCACGACGCTCAGTAAGACCCCCTGTCTGCTCAGTGTAAGGAGAAGGAGCAGGCAGCGGTGAGCCAGGCTGTAACGGAAGACCAGTAGACGAAGGGAGACTAAGAACCTGGCGAAGCACAGAGTCTGGCGGTGGCTGAGACGACGGAGACGGTGGAGCAAAGAACAAGCGCGTCTGTGCAGTGCCACCTGCACCAGCAGCTTCAGCACCCCCAGCAGCTCCAGCACCTCCAGAAGCTCCAGAACCCTCAGCGCCAGCTCCTCCAGGACCAGCTCCACCAGCAGCAGCACCCCCAGAACCGGCACCTCCAGTCCCAGTGTCTCCAGCAGTAGCACCCCCAGACCTAGGGTCTCCAGCAGTAGCACCCCCAGACCCAGGGTCTCCAGCAGTAGTACCCTCAGGCTCAGCACCTCCAGCCCCAACAGCTCCAGTACCTCCAGTACGAGCACCTCCGGGACCAGCACCACTCCCAGCTCCAGTGACGTCAGCAGAAGTACCTCCTGCGGCAGAGCCCCGAGCTCCAGAAGCGCGACCCTGACGGCGACCGTACCAGTCGTGCAGCTGCTGTGAGGTGATAGGCACACGCGGACGAAGGCGGCTACTCCAAGGAGACCGCTCAACAGCAGACTCAGAACCCTCAGCTCCAGGACCCGCAGCAGCTCCAGAACCTCCAGCGCCAGCACCCGCAGCAGCTCTAGAACCTCCAGCTCCAGCACCCTCAGCAGCTCCAGAACCTCCAGCTCCAGCACCCTCAGCAGCTCCAGAACCTCTAGTAGAAACAACTCCAGTAGCAGAGTCACCAGCTCCAGCGCCTCCCGCAGCAGGGCCCCTAGCTCAAGCAGCGCGACCCTGACGGCCAACGTACCACTCACGCAGCTGCTGTGGAGAGAGAGGGAGTCGACGACGAGAGTGCAGCAGCGAGGTACCAGCGGAGCGACTACGGAGACGGCCGCCCCAGGGAGACTGCTCACCAGACGCCTCAGCGCCCCCACGTGCAGCACCCCCAGACTCAGTACCCCCAGGCTCAGCACCCCAAGACTCCTCACGCCCAGGCTCAGCACCTCCAGTCTCCGCACCCCCAGGCTCCGCACCTCCAGGCTCCGCACCCCCAGGCTCAGCACCCCCAGGCTCCGCACCCCCAGGCTCAGCACCCCCAGAAGCAGCACCCCGAGCAGGACCACCCTCAGCAGGACCTGAGTCACCAGTGACCTCAACCGGCACAGTCAAGGGAGGAGGGTCTACCTGAGACACACCTGAATGAGCAGGACCGGGAGTGGGGAGGGGGTCTACCTAGGGAGCACCTGGAGTGAGGAAGAGCGGCGGGGGGGGGGGGGGAGAGGGGCAGTGCGGTAGGGGAAGAGACGGTAAAAGGGAACCGACTCGTCGAACGTGACGTCCTGAGAGGGGAAGACACGGCGCGAGGTGGGGTGGTAAAACTGCCAACCAGGCGCGTCAGGGACAAAGCCAAGGAAGACACAGGGAACTGCGCGGGCGGAGAGCTTGTCCGCGGTGGTATCGCGGACAAAGGCACGAGCACCCCAGACCCAGAAACGCGACGCATCGCCAACCTTCCCCGTCCACAGCAGTGTGGGCGAGGTCTCCGGCAAGGAGACATGGGGCCAGAGGTTGAGCTGATGCGCGGCGTACCGGACCGCAAACGGCCACAGAAAATGGGGGGCAGCCGCATGGATCATGGAGGTACGAGCGACCTCCATGACTAAGCCAATGCGGCGCTCAGCAACCCCATTCTGCTGCGGAGAGGCCGGAAGCGTGAACGTCTGGCTGATGCCGTGCTCCGCACAGAAGGCTGCCAAGAGGTCGGAGGAAAACTCCCCACCTCTGTTAGAGTGCAGACGCAGGACGGGAAACTCCGTCCCGAACCGCTCGCGGAGCTGGAGACGAGCAGCGCGGATCCAAGGGATCAAAACATCAGGGACCTCACCCTTGGTGCGCAAGGGGAAGACCATGGTGTAACACGTGTAGTCGTCGACGACCAGCAGGAAGTACCGCTCGTGGCCCTGTCCACGGACGCGGGCTGGGCCCCACACGTCCAGGTGGAGAGTCTGCAGGGGAGCCTCTGTGGGAGGGAACGAGGAGGAGTGAGGAGCGGCGCGCTGCCGCCCCTCGACACAGGGAAGACAGGGAGGAGCAGGCGAGGGTGGGAGGGGAGGTAGAACCCTGGGAAGACCAGAGACAAGGACACGGCGGTGCATGCTGCGAAGGCGCTGCACCGAGGGGTGACCAAGGCGCTGGTGCCAAAGGAGGGTCTGGTGCGACAGGGCGCGACACGAGCAGGGGGGCGACAGCTGACCTGACGCAGATGCAGACGCAGCTACCTGAGGGGACTCAGTGGTCAGTGTGTACAGGCCCGACCCCGGCTGCCGAGTGAAGGTAGCCAGGTGACGACCCGTCTGAGCACACGTGCAGTGTGTCACACGCTCGTAGGCAGGGGTGAACTGGTGAACACCCGCGTCTTGGAGCGCAGAACCCGCCACCAAGTTCGTAGAGAACGAGGGGAGGTAAAGACCCGACAGTGTGCCGGACGGGACAGCAGGACAAGGGAGGACAGTGGAGGAGGTCGCACAGACTGGACCCCCAGAGGGGTCTGCCAGGGAGACTGGAACCGGCCGACTGAGCGGCGTGAGGATGGTGTTGTCGCGAAAGAAGGAGTGAGAAGCACCAGAGCCAAGTGTGAAGGTGTACAAGGCCTCAGCAGGCGCAGTACCAGAGAGAGCAGACTCACCAGCACCTGGAGCAGCAGCCTCACCCGTACCTAGAGCAGGAGACACACTAGCCCCTAGAGCAGCAGCCTCACCAGCACCTAGAGCAGCAGGCTCTATACCTGGGTCAGGCGGTACGCACAGGTAACAGGCACGGTCAGCACTAGTAGGCAATGCATACATGGCAGTGAGAATGGCATCATAGTCAAGAGCAAATATATCTACCCTCTGCCCAAGCAGCTCCACCCAGTCGGGGAGCTCAGCCTCGTCGCCAAACTCGGTACGCCAGGCGTCGCTCAGACGGGCGAAGCAGCGGGACTGTGTGTGACTAAGCGTCCCGCAAGCCTGACCAGTCCGAGTACCAGTGCGAATGACGTATGGGCAGCGAACGGTACTCAGAGACCCTCTACTCTGACAATACCACTCACGAAGCTGCTGGGGCGTAAGTGTCTCGCGCGGACGCCGCTGCAACTGCAGCTGGCCACTGCCAGACGCTCCCGACTGACCAGCTCCAGGGCGACAGCCACGACGGCTACCGCCACAACCCCAACTAGCGTACCACTCACGAAGCTGCTGGGGCATGAGAGACTCACGCGGACGTCGCTGGAGCTGCATCTGGCCACCGCCAGTAGCAGCAGTAGCAGTAGCAGCAGCAGTAAGAGCCTAGCAGTAGTAATAGAAGGAGCAGCAGTAGCAGCAGTGGCAGCGCAGGCAGGGCAGGCGCGGCAGGCAGGCAGGCAGGCAGGCATGGCAGGCAGGCAGGCAGGTAGGCAGATGGCGCGGCAGTGCGCGAACAAGGCAGGTGCTCACCAGTGGCGGGAAGGGCAGGCGCACGACGGCGGCGACGGGGGGGCCGCGACAGCTGCGGCAGAGTAGGGCCGCGTCGGCGGTAGGGCAGGTCCGCGACAGTTGCTGCAGGGCGGGGCCGTGACAGCTGCAGGGCGGGGCCGCAACGGCGGCAGAAGGCTCCGCGGCAGCTGCTGCAGGGCAGGGCCGCGACCGCGGCAGGAGGCTCCGCGGCAGCTGCTGCAGGGCAGGGCCGCGACCGCGGCTGGAGGCTCCGCGACAGCTGCTGCAGGGCAGGGCCGAGTCTGTGGCAGGGCGCTCCGTGGCAGCTGCTGCAGGAGCGACGGTGGAAGTCAGGCAGGGGCGGCGTCCAGGGGCAGCCGCGAGGAACAGGGGCAGCCGCGGCGCGCGAGGCTGCAGCGCGCTGCGCGAGCTGCGAGCGCGGCACGCGGGGCTGCAGCGCGACGCGCGGGCAGAGAACGCGGCGCGCGGGGCTGCAGCGCGACGCGCGGGCAGCGAACCCGACGCGCGGGGCTTCAGCGCAACGCGCGGGCAGCGGGCGCGACGCGCAGGGCTGCAGCGCGACGCGCGGGCAGCGGACGCGACGTGCGGGGCTGCAGCGCGACGCGCGGGCAGCGGGCGCGACGCGCGGGGCGGCGACCTGGCCTGACGGGCCTGCAGGGGCGGCTCGCGGGCCTGACGGGCCTGCAGGGGCGGCTAGCGGGCCTGACTAGCCCGCAGGGGCGGCTAGCGGGCCTGACGGGCCTGGAGGGGCGGCGCTCCGGCCTGACGGGCCTGCGGGGGCGGCGCTCTGGCCTGACGGGCCTGCAGGGGCGGCTCGCGGGCTTGACGGGCCTGGAGGGGCGGCTAGCGGGCCTGACGGGCCTGCAGGGGCGGCGCACGGGCCTTACGAGTCTGCAGGGGCGGCGCGCGGGCCTTACGGGCCTGCAGGGGCGGCGCGCTGGCCTAGGGCAGCAGTAGGCAGCGCGAGGGCTGCAGGACGGCGCGCGCAGCGCAGCACGTCACAAGGCAAGGCAGGCAGGCAGGACAACACGTGGGGTAGCGTGGTAACCGCAACGGTAGGTGGGCCCGAAAAAAACGGTCCTACGGACCTAGTGCTCTGAAACCATGTTAGAATCTAGCAGCAGGAAATGATGAAACTATGAAAGAGATGGGTACAAATATGAAACCCTAAAAGGGGCTGTACCCCATATTGGCTACCCCACTACAGCCTAAGCATATATAGCATATATATCATTTTACAGCACCTGCACCTGCTGCACACACCTGCACCTGCTGCATGCACATTTCACATTCACAAATCACACGCAAGCGCGCACCTGGACCTGCTGCACGCCCTTCTGCAGCATGGCCATGTCCGCCTCCTCCTGCCTGGCTCGCATGATGGCACGTCACGTGATAATGAGACATCTTAAAACGAATCACACACATCGGTACGCACCTGCCACCTGCTCTACACCCTTCTGCAGCATGGCAACATTAGCCTTCTCCAGCCTCTCTCTCATCGTCGGCACGTCATCAGGGTCGATGTTGACGGAGAAGGCACCATAGTTGAGTGTGTTCTGCCACGGGTTGTCACACCTGCCGTGCGCACCTGCACCTGCCGTGCGCACCTGCACCTGCTGGATAACTCTACAGAGCATTGAGCGCCACGCACCTGCACCTGCTCTATGCCCTTCAGCAGCATGGGCACGTTCGCCTTCTCCAGTCTGGCTCGCATGGATGGCACGTCATCAGGGTCGATGTTGACAGAGAACGCATCGTAGTTGAGCGTGTCATGCCACGGGTTGTCATGCTCGCGGAAAAACGTCACTGGGATGCACCCTGAGATCACGGCCTGGTGGGTGAGGAGAGGGAGGGGGGAAGGAGGGAGGAGAGATTGGGGAGGGGATTTTGAGTTGACTCAAGAGTCACCGAGCAAGCACTGCCATGGGTTGTCATGCTCACGGAAAAACGTCATTGGGATGCACCCTGAGATGAGCGGTTGGCAATCAGCAGAGGACACGGAGGGGAGGGGAGGGGAGGGGAGGGGGTGTGGGGGGTTAAGGGGAGGGACTTTTGAGTCGGCTCAAGAGTCACCGAGGGAGCGCTGCCACGGGTTGTCATGCTCGCGGAAAAGCGTCACTATGATGCACGCCTGAGATGAGCGCCTGGTGGGTGGCGGGTGGGGTAGGTGGAGGAACGGGGTGGTACGGGGAGGAGGGAGAGGGGGGAGAGGCTTATGAGTCTACTCGGTAGCGCTGCCAGGGGTTGTCGTGCTCGGGGAAGAACGTCACTGGGATGCACCCTGAGATGAGCGCCTGGTGGGTGGCAGAGGAGGGGGAAGGAGGGGCGGGATAAGGAGAGAAGGGGGGCGGGGAGTGGGCAAGAGATGGCCCAGGGGGAAGAATGAGTTGGAGAAAATGACGAAGTAAGGCCTCCAGGATTTTTTTTGGGGCGCCTCAAAAGAACCTCAGGATGCATGCTGCCATGCTGAGTTAGAGAAGCTGAGGCCCCCATGCTGCCATGGGGTGTCATGCTCGCAGAAGAACGTCACTGGGATGCAACCTGAGATGAGCGCCTGGTGGGCGGCAGAGGACACGGAAGAGGAGGGGTGGGTGGGGGGGGGGGGGGGGGGGAGGGTGGGTAGAAGAGGAGGGGGTGGGCAGGTTAAGGGGAAGGGGTCGAGGGAGGACTTTTGCGTCGCCCGAAGAGTCACAGAGAGAGCGCTGCCATGGATGGAGTGTCGTGCTCGCGAAAGAGCGTCACTGGGATGGGATGCACCCCGAGGCGCCTGGTGGGTGGCAGGTGGGGTAGAGGGAGGAGCGAAGGGGTAAGTGGAGGAGGATGAGGAGGGACTTTAGAGTCGACTCAAGAGTCACAGAGGGAGCGCTTCCACGAGGTGCCGTACAGCCGTGCATCCGTGCGCGCGGAAAAACGTCACTGGGAGGGATGCACGCCAGGATGAGAGCCTGGCGGGTGGTAGAGAGGATGGCGAAGGGCGGCGGGCATTAGGGGTTTATGGGGGAGGGGATAAGGGGAGAATGGGGGAGGGGATAAGGGGAGAATGAGGGAGGGGGAGGGGGAGGGGGGAAGCAAGGAGGTGGTTTGACTTGGGATGGCTGAGAGGGTTGTGAGCTGCAAGGATGTGTGCTGGCATGCTTTGGTGGGTGCCGCCATGCAGCATGTGACGCCATGCAGCCGGCAATTAGAGCCTTGTGAGGAAGGGGGGCAGAGGGTAGGAACATAAGGGGCATGGTGGGGAATGGGGGGGAAGAGGAAAAGACCACAGTGGCCACGGTGGGGAATGGGGGAAACACCACAGAGGGTATGGTTGAGAAAGGCACGCAGTGAGTGCATTTCTCCCCAAGAGCGTCTTCAAAAGGGGCGGCTGTACCTTGAAGGCCGGCTGGTCCACCAAGAGTGACCCAACAGGCAGCTAAGTGGTTGTTACTTGATGGTTGAAATAGAGTCACTGTATGGTTGGGTTACCATTGCTGTAGCAACTCGCACCTTGAAGGGGCGGCTGGTCCATTGGGAGTGGCCGGGCAAGCAGATGCAGAAGACGCTGTGCTGCCAGTCCTGGTCCGTCCTCTCCTCGCTCTTGGGGAACATGTCCCACCCCGGTGCCATGTCCGCCTTCGCTGCCTGTGGTGCACGGAGAGGGGCGGAGGAAAGAGGAAAGGTCAGTCATTTGCTCGCTCTTTGCAAACATGTCCCACCCCGGTGCCATGTCCGCCTTGTCTGCCTGCAGAGCATGGAGAGGGAGGCGGAGAGAGAAGAGAGAGGGGAAAGGAGAGGAGGAGGAGATAAGAGTGAGAGAATTCGGGGGACGAAGAGAGAAGATGGGGAGGAGGAGAGGAGGGGAGGGGGTGCAAGTGACAGTCAGTCCTCTTGTTGCTCTGTGGCAGCATGGCGCACCCTCCTGCCATGCACCCTCCTGATATGCACCCTCCTGCCATGCACCCTCCTGCCATGCACCCTCCTGCCATGCACCCTCCTGCCATGCACCCTCCTGCCATGCACCCTCCTGCCATGCACCCTCCTGCCATGCACCCTCCTGCCATGCACCCTCCTGCCATGCACCCTCCTGCCATGCACCCTCCTGCCATGCACCCTCCTGCCATGCACCCTCTCGCCATGCACCCTCCTGCCATGCACCCTCTTACCATGCACCCTCCTGCCATGCACTCTCCTGCCATGCACCCTCTTGCCATGCACCCTCCTGCCATGCACCCTCCTGCCATGCACCCTCCTGCCATGCACCCTCCTGCCATGCACCCTCCTGCCATGCATCCTGCATGGATGCTATGAGTCCTGAGATTGTATTTGCCATGTCTACGGCAGGCGGGTGCGCAGAGGAGGAAGGCAGGGTGAGGGGGGCAAGGGGGGGGGGACCCTCAGTGCAAGCAGTGAGGGCCCTGAGACGTCCAGTAGCACGTGCTTGTGGGCAGCGCCGCATGCAGTGCAATCTCACCCTCCTCCTCTTACATGTATGATTCTGCTGCGCACGTCCAGCAGCACGTCTTTGTTTAAATCACTTTTGAGAATTCTCAAACGTGATTTAAATATAGTGGGGCAGTGCCCGGTGCGCTGACCTGAATGCAGTGCAGTGCGGAATGCAGTGCACCACCTTCTCCCCCCCCCCCTCCCACTCACCTGGATGATTCTGCCACGGACGTCCAGCAGCACGTGCTTGTGCGGCGATGTCAAAAAGCGGAAGGTAGCCGTCCATTTGCGCGACGAGGTCAGGGGTGACACCTGAACGTGGAGTGCAGTGCAGTGTAGTGCAGGTTGCAAGGCGTGCAATGCAACATCAAGTGCAAACCCCCAAAACTGACCTGAATGATTCTGCTGCGTGTGTCCAGCCGCACGTGCTTGTGTGGCGACGCCACGAAGCGGAAAATGGCCGTCCACTTGCACGGCGCGGCAAAGGGAGACACGAAGGGCACCTGGGCGCGCACGATGACGGGCACAGGAATGTCTCGGTCCGGCATGTAGCATGGGATGTACGGGATGGTGGGGTCTGCTGGCGCACCATATTGGTAAGACAGGAGCTGCAGCGGGTGAGGGAAGGGCGGGGTGGGGGGGGGGGGGGGGGTGTGGTGGTGAGGTGAGGCGAGGAGCGGCATGAAGGGCACCTGGGCGTTTTTTGAGAATTCTCAAAAACTCCCTGCACGATGACAGGCACTGTGATATCTCTGTCCGGCATGTAGCAGCGGATGGGATGGACTGGATGGTGGGGTCTGCTTGCGCACCGTACTGGTATGACAATAGCTGTAGGGGCGGGGAGTTGAGGGGGGGACGAGGGAGGAGCAGGGGTGGGGGTAGGGGGTGTGGGGGGGTGAGGTGGTTGCATTGCTGCTTGCACCTGGGCGCCTGGGCGCATGCACATGAAGGGCACCTGGCTTCGCACGATGACAGGCACTGTGAAGTCTCTGTCCGGCATGTAGCAGGGGATGGGATGGACGGGATGGTGGGGTCTGCTGGCGCGCCATATTGATATGACAGCAGCTGCAGGGAGGGGGGTGAGGGGGTTGAGGGGGGTCGCAGTAATGAGGCGTCGCTGCTTGCAGTCTGCATGACGTTGTGATCCGGCCTGTAGCATGGGATGGAGGGGATGGTGGGGTCTGCTGGCGCGCCGTACTGGTATGACAGCAGCTGCAGGAATGGGGTGAGGGAAAGGTGAGGAAAAGGGGAGATGGGTTTGAGGTAGGGGTGTGGGGATGAAGAACCTGCTGCCTAAAAAAACAGCTGCAGTGGGCGGTGATGGCATGGGGGTGAGGCAGGGAGGGCGTGTGGATGAGGCTTGCAGTATGCAGGATGGTGAGGGCCGGCACATAGCAGGGTATGAGGGTATGGGAGGGGATGGGAGGCGATGGAGGGAACGGGAGGGGATGGGAGGGGATGGAAGGGGATGGAGGGTATGGTAGGTGGTTAGAGAATCGCATGTTGAGGTATGCATGTTACAGCGAATGGTAATGTCCTCATGGTGATTTGATCCTCAGAGGCTACCTGCATGCTAAGGTGGGGTAACTACCTACCTGCATGCTGAGGTGGGGTAACTACCTACCTGCATGCTGAGGTGGGGTAACTACCTACCTGCATGCTGGGGTGGGGTCACTACCTACCTGCATGCTGGGGTGGGGTAACTACCTACCCGCATGCTGAGGTGGGGTAACTACCTACCTATCTGCATGTTGGGGTGGGGTAACTACCTACCCGCATGCTGAGGTGGGGTAACTACCTACCTACCTGCATGCTGGGGTCGCTGCCGGCATGGTCACTGCGCACGAGCTTGTCTCCATTGTACGTGACAAAGAACATCTCGCCCACCAGCCGTGGATCCACAAACGTGAGTGAGTGGCAACCGCCGTGATCGAGCGTCAGGATGCCAAAATGATCTCGGCCATTGGTGCGGTTGAAATAGGGGAAGTTGGCACGAACGGCTGTCAGGACTTTCGTTCACGCCTGGTGGGTTCGAGGGGGAGAGAGAATGGGGTTGGAAGAAGGATAAGAGGTACCGTGGATGACACGAAGAACAACACAAGTGTAGGGCTGCTTGCCTAGTACTAATAAATGCGCCTCAGCTCAGACGACCCACCCTTGAGCTCTTCATTATGCATTGCTGCATGTTCTTCCGATCGTTGTGGTAACAGGAGAAGAGGTAGCGCGACACGTAAAAGGGCACAAGTGTAGGGCTGCTTGCAATACTACTAAATGCGCTTCACTTGACTCGACCCACCCTTGAGCTCTTCTCAATGCATTGCCGCATTGTTCTTCTGATCGTTGTGGAAGAAGGAGAAGAGATAGCGCGACACGTAGAAGGGCACAAGTGTAGGGCTGCTTGCCTCGCTACCAAATGCACCGCACTTGACCCACCCGTGAGCTCTTCTCGATGCATTGCCGCATGTGCTTCTGGTTATTATAAAAGAAGGAGAAGAGGTAGCGCGACACATAGAAGGGCACGAAGAACAGCGACGCCTTCTTGGGGTTCATGGTGCGCACGGGGTTGTCCGTACTCCTCATAAGCATCTCCGTTAAGTGCTTCTCCAAATCGTACTGCTCCGAGCACCACTCCAGCTCTAATTCGAGCACCTTAGACGTCAGATGATCCCCTAGATCGTACACATACACGAACGGTCGCGCGCCCGCCGCGCTGGCAGTGCTGTCTTGCGGCCCCGTTCCACCGCTCTGCTGCTCCTCCTGGTCGAACAGCTGCACGTGGTGCTTCGTTATCTTCTCCTCCCCCTGCTGCTGCTGCTGCTCTTGCTGCCCCTTCTGTTGTTGCTCTTGCTGTTGCTGCTGCTCATCAGCTTGCGGGTGCTTCGTTTCTCGCTTAGCAAACACGCCCTCGCTGACCCCCTGGGCTGCATTTGGGATGCACTAGACTCGAGCACCATCCGCGTTAGTAGCCCTCCTGGTACCGAGATAAAAGTGCAAAAAGCTCTCTTCCAGCGGCCATCGTATGATCAAAAGCATGAAGGTGGATAGACGAAGTGCGAGTAGTTGTAACGTCAATGTGACTGCGCGAGGGCGCTTATAACGGGGGGAGCCGGCTTCCCATGAGCCGTAACAATCTACATAGCTCCAGAGGGTCGCCTGGCGGTCGCCTCGAGGCGACGACGCTCCAGCGATGCGCGACGAAGCGTGCGATGGGTCATGCTTTGCGACAATCCATTTCGTCTTGACGGATCGCATGGCGGCGTGATCGCCGCCGCCAGCGCCGCCAGACAAATCCAATCGAGAAAGCGCGAGGGGATTGCGCAATTGACGGCGCGAGAAATTGGGGAGCAGCGAGCTTTGGCGCTTCGAGGCGCCTCACGGATGCCACTATCGCACAGCGTGCTTTTCGCGAAAATATAATGCGTCACCAGATTGCAACTGCCGCGGCGCCGCGCAATGCCCGCTCGTCCGCAATCGCGAGGGTTGCCTTGCCTAGCCAATTCTGGAAAGAAGCACTTTCTAAAACATAAACCATGTTTTTTCTGATGTTGGTTTGACTTGCAGTTGTAACATCTTTTGACGTGGGCGAAGGGCGTGAAACATTTGGTCAAGCACTTGGTTGGGTCAGAAGGTCGAACATGTTTCTTCACGAACTAGTTGGGAAGGTTTCCATTGGAGATGCGAATTCTCGCACAAGTGGTTACCTTCGCAAGTGTCCGACCATTGAGGTTGTTTACACAGAGAAGGGACGTTTCCACAACCACCATTCTCAAGCGCTATTTGTGCTCATACGGGTCAGCGTGGGTTAGAAATCTCGGTAAATCAAGGTTCAGATGCTTACTGGTTAGATATCTCAGCGACCTGATGACTCCTCACGTGGCCGACCCAGCTCCGGCCGCCGACCTCCCTCCGGCAACAGAGTCGCGCGTCGGACTGTCCGGCGGACAATCGGCGGAGGCCGTTGCGGCGGAGAGAGATGGGCGGGCGGGCGTGGCGCTAGGGGAGGCGAAGGGGCGAGGCGGAGAAGGGGATGACGTGGGATCAGGGGTTGACGTGAGGTTATTGAGAGGCGAGGAGAGCGGCCGTGCAGGCAGCTCGTTTGACGATTTGCGCTCCGAGAAAGAACCCGATGGTTGTGGCGTTCCCGTCCTCGTCAACGTTAACTTGTGTGTCAACGTCCACGTCAACGTTAATGTTACCGTCAGCGTCGCTGGATGCTGACTATTCGAGAGAGCGGAACGAAGCGCGACAGTGGCAGAGCGAGACTGGCGCGGTGACGAGCGGGAGCGCCGCGCGCAGCCGCCGCTGATGGGCGGAGCGGTGGGTAGCGCCGTCGCCCCCGCAGGTAGCGGTGGCGACAGCAGCAGCCGCAGCAGCATCAGCGGCGGGGATGCGCTAGCGGGAGCACCGGCCGATCGCGATAGCGAGGGCAGGATGAGCGGAAAGATCGGTGCGGAAACAGCGACGCTGGTAGAGGCGGAAGCCGACATCAGAAAAAATGTAAAACGGCCGAGTATGGAGGGGGGGGGGGGGAGGGAAGGGGTCCTTTTTTGAGTTGGGAGGGTGGTGGTTTTCGATGGTTGATGAGGTGAAATTCGCTTCACCCTCCTTCCTGGCAGTTCACCATCAGATGCGCTCGGATTATTCCTGCAAATTCTCGCACGCATTTCTAGTCATTTACTACCACCCCTCTCGACCCCCATTTACCACTGTTTACAGATGCGTACTGCACACGTGGGCAACAAATCGTGGTTCGAGGTGCCGTTTCTGGTTGGGAGCTTACGGGCCATTTCACTGGTTGGTTTTGCGGACAGAATGGTGATAGATCGCGAGATGTGTGGGGAGGTTGCCAATCAGCACTTCACACGCTCAACTCCTTTGCATGGAAATGTTGGAGGGCCTCGCCACGTCATCTAACCTTAGGTTACCGCCAAATAGACAAAATTGTAACAAGTCACACACTTCATTTTGTGAACTGTATTAGTAATATATTCCAATAACTTGAACTTCTTCAGAGATGTTGCCTAGTTGACATAAATACAATGTAAATGGGTTTAATTCCAGCCTTCAAAGTATCCAAGGCATGGAATTTGGGTGCAAAGTTTGCGGAAGCGAAAAACCAAAACAATGTGAGGCAATGTCGGCACTTAATGTTGATCCAAATTCTGCGAACAATTCTTTATTAGTTTGAAACTATTTCAACCATAGTTTATTGATTTTGTCCCAAAAAAAAACAATAACATGTGTTAATATAGAATCTATTTCTGTATCTCAATCAGCCCGTTTCCTCCTAGGGAGTGCACAAATCAATAAGACCTAAAAGCGCTAGAGCGAGTCTTTCATTATCGAGTGGTTTAAGGGCTGAGTTTTAACCAATGGGAGCCGACTGTTCAGCTCACAAACTCAGTTTGACCAGCAAGTTCCGACCGCCCAATCACAGCAAGGATTTCTGTTCACGTGGCGAGTTTTTTTTCTTCTGTTCCGAACATCAGTGCTGATCTGAACGTGCTGAAACTGCTCGCGCGCTGAGATTGCAGCAGCTTGTTCGGCCATTTTCAGGTGCATGCAACTTAGTTGAGGCGCGCTATTCAGGCGCATGCTATCCCGTCGTTTTTCTGCCTCTGTTGTTACTGTTCTGTTAGGGGATGCTACAATCCGACTGACAGTAACTGGCGCAGCTCTCGCACGAATTCGTCGTCCAACCACACCAGTCGCACGAAAATTAGTGCGAACAAGGTCAATACATATCGCAACACACCAGACAAAAACGGGCAAAAAATATAAAACCCAATTGGAAACGCATGCGACTCGGGAGGGATCAACCCTAAACACGAGGGCAGTTCCCGTGTTTAGGGTTGATCCCTTCCGAAAAATGAGTCCAGGTTCCCTAGATTTTTTGTCCCACTGCCTTAAGGGACATCAACCCTAAACACCAGGACGTTCCCGTGTCTAGGGTTGATCCCTCCCGAACAATGTCCAGGTTTTCTAGGAGTTGTATTTTTCCTTTTCGGGCTTCCCTGCCAGGCCGATTTTGTGTATTGCGAGTGTTGCGTGTGCTGCTTGTGTTGCGCGGGTTGCATCCCCTGACAGAACAGTGTTTTTAGTGGCGGATGTATACAAACAGTGGCAACCAAGGGAGAAAAACGACGGGATAGCATGCACCTGATTAGCGCGCCTCGGCTAAGTTGCATGCACCTGAAAATGACCGGAACACCACTTTTCGACAACTCTGATTGGCTGTTGTTCGCGCTGCCACTTTGATCAAATGTCTAGCTGGCAGCTGCTCACTCGAACAATGCTCGCGCTGCGCAAATGAGAAGTTCGAGCGAGTAGCTGCTCGCGCTACGTGACGTGGCAGCCACACACAGAAGCTCTAAAATTGAGGAGCTCACAATGGGAAGAGATCATCGAGGGGCCGAACATTAGCAGAGATGTGGCCAAATTAGGGCCGCATGAGTCGCACCCCTAGTACGTAGGTCCGAACCTGACTGAGTACGAGCCTAAATTTTATTTTCCGAGCCAAAACAAAAATAAACCCCTATTAAATGCCATGCTTTTAGGGAGGAATCAACCCTAAACACTCTGCGACAAGGTGTTTAAGGTTGACCTGTTTCTAAACAAATTTCCGTCAGCTTGTTGGGTGTTTAGGTTCGAAAATTGTTCGGGCTAGGCTGACCCCTCTGGGGGTCCGGTCCTTGCGCACTCCTCCACGGTTCTGCCGTGTCCGGCGGTCCCGTCTGGCTCCCTGTCAGATCTCCACCTCCCCCGTTCTCCACGAACTTGGTGAGTGGAGCTGACCTTCAGGACGTGTGGGTTGACCAGTTCACTCCTGGAGGTCAGCGGGTGACCCACTGTACGTGTACTCGGATGGGCCGGCACCTGGCCACGTTTGCCCGTCAGCCTGGGTCGAGCCTGTACACCCTGACTACCGTGTCTCCTCCGGTTGCTGAGTCTGGTCAGGTAGCTGCGTCTGGTCAGGTGTTTGCTGCAGCGTCCCGGTCTGGTCCTGAGTCTGCCCCTGCTCATGTCGCCTCCTGTCTCACCAGACTCTCCTCTGGCACCACCGCCTTGGTCACCCCTCCCTGCCTCGTCTCCGAGGCATGGCCTCCCGTGTCCTTGTCACTGGTCTTCCCCGGTCTCTCCCTCCCCTTCCCCCGGGGCCTGCCCCTACCTGCGTTCCTTGCGTCGAGGGGCGGCAGTGCGCCACTCCTCACTCCTTTGAGTTCCCTCCGACGAAGGCTCCCCTGCAGACTCTTCACATGGACGTGTGGGGCCCAGCCCGCGTCCGTGGACAGGGTCACGAGCGTTACTTTCTGCTGGTCGTTGACGACTACTCGTGTTACACCACAGTCTTCCCCTTGCGCCGCAAGAGTGAGGTCACTGAGGTGTTGCTCGACTAGATCCGCGCTGCCCGTCGCCAACTCAGCGAGAGTTTCGGCTCGGACCTTCCTGTTCTGCGTCTGCACTCCGACAGAGGTGGAGAGTTTTCCTCCGACCTTCTGAGGGCCTTCTGTCGTGCGGAGGGCATCCGCTAGACGTTCACGCTTCCGGCCTCTCCACAGCAAAATGGACAGAAACATTGTGCCAGAAACAGTAGTGACCCAATCCGGAACAGTCTGGTCGTAGGCGGATTTTTCCGAACTTTTCGGTGGTTTGAAGGACGACTTCCGTCTCACACTGTACCGCTCTGCCGAAAAAAACGCACACGACGCACCCTCCTGCAGAACGCCGCTGCACCCGAGTGGGACACGGAAAATCCCCGCTTTCTGTTAAATGCAAAATGCGGTTTGCACGTCAACCTACCGCCTATTTGCCGACGGTAAAGGAAAATGAGAGTTCTTGTTTTAAGGTAATTTGCGGAGTGTGAGGAGCGTATTTGCATGCCTTGCATTTGTGCGTTTACGGTTTGTGAATTGCCTTATCGGTTCATGAGTTATGTGCATTTTTTTGTGTGATTGCATTTCATGAATGTTCATGAGTTTCCGTGAAAGCGCATTAATGTTCGTGAGGTTCCGCGGATGTTCGCGGATTTCCATGAGTTCTCCTGCATTCGCGATTGTTCATGAGTTTGCGTGTGTGCTCATGAGTTTTCATGTATTTTCGCGTGTATTCGTTTGAGTTTCTGTGTTCATGAAAGTTCATGAATGTTCACGAATGTTCATGAATGTTAATGAGCAAAAGCGAGTGTTCCTCGCTGTGAGATTTTTTCTCGCGCTGGACAAGCGAAAATCGCGAGGGAATCTGGACCGCGCATGGGGTCCCGATCTCGCGTGTGGCCCCGCAGGGCTTGCGCGTGTGCCTCGCACTGTGGCGAGCATGCACAGTGTGCGGAGAGTCACTCTACAATGGTAGTGAGCTAGACTACGGGGGTTGGCACGAACTATTAGGAGTGATCGTAGCTTTGCTTGGTTCCTTAGTGCTTGCACATTCACGAGGAGAAATTGGCAAGAGTTTCCACTAGGCAAAGTCGAAGTTACAGAATTGTTGAACAAGCAATGACAACAATGACTACATCAGGCACCTAGCAACACTGCAGCTAGCCTGGTCGACCGCCAGCACAGCTCGGTCGACCGCCTGCCAGCGTTTCGTAGAGGAGCCGCGCCAGCACTGCAGAAGGGCGACCTGCCAACAGAGCAGGTCGACGGCGTGCCAATGCTGCAGCTGAGCGGCTGTCCAGCGTTGCCCCGTAGAACGCAGCAGTGCGCACGCTCACAGGTGCGCGCAGACGATTGGCCCGACTTGCCTCGTTGGGCATCCGTCGGCTGTTGACTGCGCCTGACGAGCCACATCGACTTAAAGATACCAGCCCGCAGTCGCCTGCGCCATCGCGGCCTCGACGACGTTCGCGTTCCTCTCCAGAAGTCGTCGAGCAGGTTACCCGGTCGACCTGGTCGACCCCAGGTGCTCTGGTCGACCCCCAGGTGCCTCCGGTCGACCACTGGTTCCCTCTGGTCGACCACCAGGTGCCTCTGGTCGACCACAACTCCCGTCAAGCTACCCCCTGGTTGGCGGACCCCTTCCGTCGACCAGAACCGTCAGCCGTTGTCGCCGAGCTCCCCTCGTCGACCGCTGCTCACTTGTCAGGTCGACGGACTGCTCCGTCGACCTCCCGGTCGAGCTGTAGGTCGACGGAGACCTCCCGGTCGAGCTGTAGGGCGACGGAGACCTCCCGATCGAGCTGTAGGTCGACAGAGACCTCCCGGTCGAACTGCCCCTCCTGGTCGACGGCCCGCCCGTCGCCAAGACCAGTCAGTTGGAGCTGTCGAGCTCCCTGGTCGACAGCAACACCACAGTGGTCCCCTGCAGCTCGACGAAGCCTGTCGAGCAGCTCTCCCACTGTGAACGGTCGGTTTCTACTCCCGTACATCCGACCAAGTTGTCGGCGTTGCCCAAGCGAGGGCGGGGCCAACACTCCACTCCCGTTAACACTCCCCTGCCGCGCTCACGATTGGGCCTCCAGCCCACGCGGCAATACTCCACGGAGAATACTCGTCCTCGGCGTGCACCCCACACACAGCACGCCATCACCGCACCAGCCGTGCAGAAAGGCACGGCACCTACTGCTGCACCTTATTGTCGCCGTCGCCGACGTCGGCCAGACAAACTTGGCCGATGGCGACAGAGCACCGGTTGAAAGCCGGAAAATGCAGCGCCTTCGTCAGGAAGTCCGTCGGCTGCACGGTGGTCGGGATGTAGTTCAGCACGAACTTCCCGCGCCTCACCATGTGCTGCAGCCAGGCGTAGCGTCGCTCCATGTGCTTGAGGTTGCCCGTCAGCCCCAAGCCCTCAG